TATCAAAGATTCATGTCTCAATAGAACAGAAGTTAGTGATTTAGTTCAGAATCTTTAGTTAGTAGTTCTAGCTCTACAGATTAGCATAGAAATCGCAAGTTCCTGAAATGTTCACTTGAGCTGAAATAACAAAAATAACAAAAATCCTTGTATTTGATACAGCACCTTATCATGTGATTGAGCCATCTCAAAGGGTGGGATGAGATGAGACCATGGAGGGATTTAAAGCTGAAATATATTTCTCAAAAACAAACCAATAATAACATTTATGACCTGAAACAATGGTTGAGTCCTGACTTAAAACTAAAATGGCATCTCAACAATGCACATCCAGAAACTGACAAAATAAAGAGAGTTTTGCCTATTTTTTAAATGCAAATCTGGTTTATTAATGATCACACTGGAGCTCTGGACTTCACCAATACAAGATGGTGGGAGCAGGGTGGAGCCAGCAATGATGGGCATGTTTGCATCACTGAAAATTAAAGAATAAAATTTGCAGCATTTCATAACTCATTCTTTGTGATCACAAGAAACACAGTTCATATGGACTATACTAAATTTCATCATATAGTGCTTTTTTTCCTCCTTCTTAACTTAAACTTTTTGATTACTGATTCTGATTCCTAACTGAATTAAGAATGTGCAGATTGGATTCAAGAGAAAAATAGAGTATCAATAGGTAAGGGAAGAAATAGAGGCTTTATGTTGAACTTTGCAGAACTACAGTAATTATGCTGCTGATGTTTTTGCTGTAGGTTGATTTCAGTCTGCACGCATTTGAATTATAAAAGTCTAAAACATGCTTTCGATCAATCAATCAATCAGAGAAACAAAAAATCAATATCAGAGCAAAACCAGCGCATCAAATAAATTGTTATTTATATTAAATAATAATACTTACATGTGATGTATCAGGAGAAGGTAATGAGCAGAAGAATGTGATATGAGAAGATCAGAGAGATAACAGAGGTGCGAGGGCATGAAGGAATTTATAGGTGAGGGTGAGGACCATCAAATCAATCCTTTGGAAGCCAGGAATCAATTTTATCCATAAATTATTATTTTTCCCAAACCAAGACCATCGTACCATATACTCTGAGGATATGAAACAATGCCACTAACAACATTCAGCAATATTCATCGAAATGTTATTTCTTTAGTCTTGCATAGAGTAATGAAGGCTGCACAATGGCTTCAGGTCAGTATTTTCCACTGCTGTAATCCTGTTTCAATATTTATTTGTATAAGCAGAGTTCCCTTGCAAAAAAAAATAGAATGTAGCATTTTATAGACTGGTAATACTCTCCGGCTCACTTATTCTGGCTGTCAATCTGTCAAATGATTATATTGGCATCAAAGCGCGGAGTCAGTTTTCACTAATATTGTAGTTCTATTNAAAAAAAGCTATCTCTGTCTACAGACTTAAGGTAGAAAGAGCCTGTTAGCATTCTAACCCAGAAGCGTGCAATTTCTGATCCCTTGTAAGCACATTTACTTATGTGTATTTATAGTAGCCCGTGAAGTATAAATTCTATGAATTCTTGTAGACCTACAGAAAACTGGCTTCATAGATGCGACTGAATGCAACAATTTGCCACATTTTGGATACACTGAAATGCCACATAAATAAAGTAAATCAAGGCCCAGATGGAATTTTTCTCCCCTGTATGTGTACAAATGTACAATAGATCTACCTCTAACATTCTAAAACTGATATAGACACATCATATGAAAACAGGATTGCCTTGCCCATGTACTATAATTGTTGCACACTTTTTGTGAAAATAATAATCCTTGCATTTGATATAGCGCCTTATTACGTCTTCAAGATGTCTCAAAGCACTTCACAGAATATACAAAAAACTGCATTTTGTGGGCGAAACGCAGCAGCCAATTGCGCATGGCGGTGTCCCACAAACAGTTGTGGATTGAGTGACCAAATTACTATTTTTATTTAAAGTTTCAATCAATAAAAAAATAAATCTTGTGTCTGAGTCTAACATCCATATTAATTGAAACAGAAAGAACATGCTTTCCTGCAAATTTGCTCAATAAGTGCTGAAAAGCATTAAATAGGCTGGAACTGATTATAAATGTGAACAAAATTCAAACTCTCTGACTTCATTTTACTTGTACTTCAATGAATGGAACAGTACCAATTTTGCTCTTGTCCTTATAAATAATATATAAAAAAAGCTTGCATTTGATAACATCAAGGCATCTCAAAGTGCTTTGCAGTTTTCTACTGTAAAAAGTAGTGACTGTATTCTGTTTGGCAAACACAGCCAGTGTGCACAGCAATGCCCCCAAACAGCCGGGAGGGGATCTTTCAAGAAGAATACTGTATAAAAATAGCACAGATATGAGAACACAGAGAGCTGGTCTTGAATTGTATTTATCATTCAGGAGCATGCACACCAAATTTAATCATTTAGATGTATCCCAAGATGACTGTTTCCTTTCAGAAATAAATTAGAAATGTACACTTGATTAAAAATTAAATCGAGTTATTACCTCTCAGTTCTTGTGTCCAATTCACTTAATACGGTAACTAGAAATGACCAAATGCTCTCTCGAAGAATCTGAGCCAAACCCAAATACTGCTGTACTGCCTTCCAGCTCAGCATCTACTTTGGAGAGGGGAGAAGTGACTTATCAGCCATATTATCACATGGACTAAAATTCTGAACAGAAGCAGTCGACAGTTAGCACTGGCCACAGAGCAACACCCCACATCTCCCCCGACTCTAACAAATGGTTGGGTTCAGAGCTGGCTGAAACAAAATCAAAATCAGTAGGAATTACTTCAGGAACATATGTTAAGAGTTATGACCAGTTCCCTTGACAGCTCATTTGATGAATGCACTCAGTGTAAAACTCAGCCATATGAGGCTGGAAGCTCCCAAATTCAATTCCAGATCATTGTTGAATTAACTGGTGCTACAATTTGTCCCTGGGGCAAGAAGTAGAAAATTCAGCTGCAGTTCTTACTTCCTATCCAGTGACCCCCTGCTGGAATGTGCAGTCAAATAGCTTGTAAAGGCTCCCTGTTTAGGCTCACACAGAGAACAATAGCCATATGGGCTAAATGCCATGAGAGATAATCCTTGCATTTGATTTAGGGCCATATCAATGTGACTGTGTCTATGCAGGTGAACACAGCAGTCAATGTGGATACAACAAACATACCACAAATAATATGATAAATAATATTCACTTCAAATAGCTGTGAAGTGAATTACCAATTTTATCTGGGGGATTTTTGGCCAGGACACCGGAACTCCCTTCACTTTTCGAATACTGCCACATATGATTTTTAAATACACCTGACCAGGCAGACAGTACTTCAATTTAACATTTCAACTGAAAGACGGCTACTCCAATACTGCAACGCTTCCCTATCAACGCAGGGCTTCCCCAGCATTATATTGAAATATCACATGGACTAAAATAATGTAACCTAGACTTTGTAAACTCAAATTATGATGTGCGGCTTGAACCTACAATCTTCTGACTCAGAGGCAAGAGCGCTAGTAACTGAGTGAGCTGACACTTGAAGGGAAGTCTTAGAAGGACCATAAATGCTCATTTAAAAAACGTTTCTGATGTTTCCTGAATCTATTTACAACAAAATAAAGTGTAATAGCAATAAACTGATTGATTCATGTTGATGGAGGGTTGGCTGCAACTGAGCAGTGATAATAATTGACAGCTTCTGGTTGCATTATGTGTCCATGCGATATTTATTGCAAGACAAATTATGTTTTCCAAATGTGAAATTCCGAGGGCATCCTGTTCTTGAGAGAAGAACACATAAAGGATAGTTTTACTTCTTAACAGATGCTTAAAACGCTATCAATTCAATATGAAAAAAGGTTTTTGGTTCATTCCAAAAATCCAGCAATGAATTTGTTATTAAAGGCTAATGCCAATATGATTTTAAACATCCTTGAAATATAAATTACTTTGTGTGTGAAACTCACAGATGGAAATATATGTCCTGCATCCTTGCAAGCTAATAATAAAAAAACAAATGAAACACTTTTTTCTTGCTCACTGTTGTATGAAATCTCTTTTATGTTTATAAATATTTAAAAAGCTTTTAAGAAATGCTTTGTGGACCCTGATATGTTGTACTTAATTTGTGTGAGTGCTAGTCCTTGCTTCCAAATCCAAAACGCAACATTTTAAGATGGTTCAGTGATGGTGTGGTTTAAACTGGAGATTATGGAATCATTCTTATGTAATCTAAGTGCTGCCTTGCATAAGAAACATTTACTATATTCCAGGGGAAACGGACTAAGAAAACACTCATCTTTTTCAAAAGAAAAAGCCATACAAATATTTAGTTCATGATGCAGAGTGACCATGCAGATATTTATATACAATTTACATTTATACGTAGCACCTTCACGTCAAGAGGATGTTTCAAAGCACTTGGTACTGTCATCTGGGCACCTGAACTGGGCATGGGAGCTGAGGGGATGGGGAATGGATAGATAACAAAAAGTGTGGTCATGGGTATTTTATATATTTATGGTTAGGAACAAAAGCATCTGAGGTATAATGGATTGGCAGCAACAGTGTTAGAAAAACATTGGGGACAGGCCAAGTGGAGGTCATAGTGGAGGTTGAAGAAATTGCAGGTCAATGTTTCAGGTTGAATTTTAGTTATAATGTAAAATCCTGCCCCAATGCTATGTGGCAGTTTAATCTGTATTTGATTTACCAAAGGAAAAGAAACTAAGATCAACAGTGTTAAATCTTCCAACCTTACTGCCGATATGGAGAATGGCTGGGAAAATTGAGCTTTGCCTTATAACCATCTTAGCAATAAGGCAACATAGGCATGGAATACCAACTAATTTTAGTCTGTAAGACCATTTTGTCTTTTTTTACATAAAAAATTGCTTTATGTGAAACCCACTACAGTATATAAATGCACATTCTTGGTACAGTATATCATAGTAAACAACATGTCTTTTTATTTTAACCAGGTTGCGATAAAATTCCTGTGGAATACCTCAGATGGGGGGAACCTGAGCCCATTGCTGCTGTTGTCTTTGCCTGCTTGGGTCTCCTGGCCACTATGTTTGTGATGTTCATATTTATGGTGTACCGGGATACTCCTGTGGTCAAGTCATCCAGCCGAGAGCTGTGCTACATCATTCTCGTGGGCATCTTCCTTGGCTATCTGTGCACCTTCTCTCTCATCGCTAAGCCCCAGAAGATTTACTGTTACCTTCAGAGAATTGGCATTGGCCTGTCCCCTGCTATGAGCTACTCAGCCCTGGTGACGAAAACAAATCGCATTGCAAGAATCCTTGCTGGCAGCAAAAAGAAGATCTGCACCAAGAAACCCCGGTTTATGAGTGCCTGTGCTCAGCTGGTCATCGCTTCCGTGCTCATATGTATCCAGTTAGGGATAATCGTTGCGCTTTTCATCATGGAGCCGCCTGAAGTCACCTATGATTATCCTACCATCCAGGACGTGAACCTGATATGTCACACCACAAACGTAGCTGTGGTTACTCCTTTGGGATACAATGGCCTGTTGATTCTAAGCTGCACCTTCTACGCTTTTAAAACCCGCAACGTTCCTGCCAACTTCAATGAAGCCAAGTACATTGCGTTTACTATGTACACGACCTGCATCATATGGCTCGCCTTCGTGCCCATTTACTTCGGGAGCAACTATAAGATCATCACCATGTGCTTCTCGGTCAGTCTGAGTGCCACGGTGGCACTTGGCTGTATGTTTGTGCCAAAGGTGTACATCATCCTGGCCAAGCCTGAGCGGAATGTGCGCAGTGCATTCACCACCTCTACAGTGGTCCGGATGCACGTTGGCGATGGGAAGTCGTCCTCTGCTGCTAGCCGTTCGAGCAGTTTAGTTAACTTATGGAAAAGGAGAGGATCATCAGGGGAAACACTAAGGTAAGATGAATAATAATATATTAATCATCTTTGCATTTGATATAGTGCCTTATTATGTCATTGAGACATCTCAAAGCGCTTCACAGGATGTACTGTAAAGTGGATTGACTGTGTATATTTGGGGTGAAACGTGGCAGCCAATTGTGCTCAGCAATGTCCCATAAACAGCTGTGGAGTGTTTGACCAGTTATATTTAGGGAATTGTTGGCGAGGCCACTGAGAGAAACTCCCTTCTCTTTTCGAATATTGCCATGGGATCTTTAACATCCACCTGATGGCAGATGGGACTTCAGTTTCATGTCTCATCCAAAGGACATCACCTCCAACAATGCAACACACCTCCAGCACTGCATTGGAGTATCATCTTAGACAATGTGATTCCAAGTTCCAGTATGGGGCTCAAACCCACAACCTTCTTATTCAGAGCCGAGAGCCCGACCACTCCCACCAGGCTGAAACACAATTGTTCAGACCGCCTATATGTTACATCTCACAAGACTGATTTGTATGAATAAAGCATTTGGATCCATCTGATCCCATCTCTCCAGAACACCCACCATATTGTCTCCCCATCACTGCATCAATCTGCTTTATAAATTAGTTCAGTGTCCTGGCCTCTTTCCTGGTAACCTGTTCCATTCATTGATTACCCTCTGCGTAATGAAAAACTCCTGGTATCTATCTTGAAATTGCTCTTTACAACTTTTAAACCTATGTCTTCTAGTTCTACTGTCATGATATATCCTAAAGTATTGATTTGGGTTCACTTTTTCAATCCCATTTAAAATTTTGTACATCTCTATGAGGTCCCCTCTGAGTTGTCTTCTTTTAAGACAGAAAAGCCCCAGCATGTCTAGTTATCGATCATATTTCAATCCTCTAACACTGGGGATTATTCTCGTCGCTCTCCTCTGCACTACCTCTAGGGCTTGGACAGTTCCCTTATGTTGCATTGACCAGAGCTGTATGCAGTATTCAATGCATGATCTGACCAGAGCACTGTACAAGCCTGAGAATGAAGTCTGAGGATCTAAACTCAACTGATTTATCAATACACCATACTGTTTGCCTTGCTTATTGCTGCCTCACACTGTTTTGATGTAGTGAGCGACAAGTCAACTTACACCCTTAGATCTTTTTCAGCTTCTCCCTTGGTAAATGCAATCCCATTCATGGAGTACTTGTATTTCCTATTCCCTTATCTGTCATAGCTTGCATTTATCAATATTAAACTTAATTTGTCATGTGAGGGAGGCTGGTAGTTTATGAACACCGGAAGTGTTTAGATAACCTGTGGAAAAGAACACAGATATTTAAATGAATCTTTCAGATTTTAACATCAATATTTCAAAGTGCAGCTAGAGATGTTAAAAGTACTGAACCATGAAATGTTCCCTATTCATGTTGGTTTTCTGTAATTGAGGCAAACCTAACATCACTAATGGCTTCAATGGTAATCACCCTTTGCACTCAAGCTTGCTAAACTCTTAACAACTGATCAGTTATAAAAAGCATGTTTAGTAACATTTTCATTGCTGGAGACTGATAAATAGATGCAACAAAGTGATCAAAGGTTCATACCAAATAACAATAAGTAGTTTAGTGGTTAGAGTCCTGTTGCTTAGATCACTTGCCCCCCAAGCAAGAGGACCTAGGTTCGATTCCCAAGCAGGGCGAAACGTTGGACAAGTTTCCTTACTCCACGCACCTCTGTTTACCTAGTAGTAAGTCAGAACCCGGTTGTTAGCCGATTGGCAGATTGCTTTTCCGGGGGTAATAATCCCTTAAAAAAAATTGGTCACTCAATCTACGACTGTTTGTGGGACACTGCTGTGCACAATTGGCTGCCGTGTTTCACCCACAAAATATATAGTCAATTCACTTCACAGTATATTCTGTGAAGCGCTTTGAGACATCTCGAAGACGTGATAAGGCCCTATATCAAATGCAAGGATTATTATTATCATTTGGATTAATTGACACCTTTCAAGTAAAAGGGCATCCCAAAATACTTTGCAAATATAATGGTGAACATTAAAACAGTGAAAGTAAAATTTAAAGATATTAGCCCTAAGGCAAGATAAAAGAGAGGAGTTTTTAGGACATTTTTGAAGGCAATGATAAAGATAACAAGGTGAAGTGTTTTTTTTCGTCAGACAGATGTCTGACACATGCGGAAACCCATCCCCGTTCTTAGGAGTATCCAAACCAAACTGAAAATTCCACATGGAAATTCCAGAGATAGATTGTTGGGATGGAATGTGCACTCTCTCTGGAGGGATGCATCCTGTTTACCTAAATCCAGAGATTATTAGGCGCAGGTTGGCAGTAGACAAGACTGGGGACCCCAGAATACGTTGGAGGTACTGCTGGAGTCTAACTCTGCATGGCTTTCTAATTTAAAATAGTTGTTAAAAGAAACAGAGGGGAGATGAGGAGAAATTTTTTCACACAGCGAGTTGATGGATCTGGATTGCATTGCCTGAAAGGATGGTGGAAGCCGATTCGATAACAATTTTTAAGAGAGAAGTAGATTTGGGGTGGACAAGTCTGCAGGGCTATGGGGAGAGAGCGGGGGGGTGGGATTGATTTGGATACCTCTGTTCAAAGAGCCGGCATAGACACGATGGGCCGAATGGCCTCCTTCTGTGATGTATAATTCTATGATTCTACGATGCCCTGCCCCCAGTGACTGGTCTACCCTTTCAAGTCCTGCTGATGAGCCAGTCATCAGCAGTGCCCTGGAGTATTGTGGACCTGGCTGGTTCAGGAACCGGACTACCAAGAATGCCACAGAGGGCTGGCTCGATTCTGACATTCTGACACCAAACATGTCACATTGGAACTAGTTCAGTTCCAAGAAGACCATGCTTAGTCAAGATGAAATGGTTTTGAAAGCGAGTTCCAGAGACAGGATGCTGGGGCTGAAGGTTCCTCCATTGATGGTGAAGAAATTGTCAGAAGAGCAAACAGTAGGCAAGAGTGGAGATACAAACTAAAATGCAGGGGTAGAGAAAATTGCATAGATAGATTGTGGCAAGATGATGGAATGATTAGAAGACCAGCACATTGATCTTAAAATTAATCTTATAAGAATAATAATCCTTGCATTTGATATAACATCTGGAGGATATCTCAAGGTACTTCGCAGGATACACTACAATGTGTAGTGACTGTGTGGGTTGTTGTTGAAAGACAATTTGCACTAATTTGTGTAATGACGGTGTATTGGTGAGCCAACATGTGCACAGCAATATCCCGGAAACAGCCATGAAGTGAATGACCGATTTTTATTTTTATCCGAGGGGGAAAAGCTAGTGATAGTTTTTGGGTGTGGGGGTTTGAAACTCCTGGTCAAGCTGTGTGCAGTGGTAGGGTTGCACACTGCCTGGATCAGCCTGAGTGAGCAGTCAAGGAGGCCACTGGAAACAAAGTCAGAGACTATGATCACTTGTGTTGGCGATCAGCACATGCTCATTTATGATTATAATTGGGTTCTACTGCATCAGATAATATAATCTCGATTTCAAACCCTATGTTATCTATACATTTACATAAACGTTTAAATCTCACTAACAATACCGATATCTTAATGCAAGGAAGCAAATCAACATCTCAGCAAGCTACTTGCTTAGCTAGTTTCATCCTATTTTTTAGGGCTTTGATATGTAAGATGGAGCACTGACCAAATTTGCCTGGGATGACTGTGGTCCTGCCAAACATTGGATTCTGATTGTGAAAAACAAGCACAAAAAAGTACTGTTACTCATCCATTTGCATAATGTTTGAAAAAAAATAATGAACATCGTAGCAAAATCTGAGAATATACTCGGTTGATGTCAATTTCATAGCAGCTAGTTATTTTCCAGAGGACCACTTTTGTTCTATGTTGAATTCTTCGAAGTTCTGGTCTGCTGTAAGTATATCTAATTGCCCAGATTTAGCTTGAAACAAAGTCATCGTGAGGGTGTATTTGCTCATTGCTCCTACTGTGTGCGAGATTACACTGCTCTACAACTGACCTGTTCCACAGCTGTAGTTGCACCCTCGAGCAATCGTCTAGCGGTAGATCCTCTCTCAGGAAAATATATTGTTCCACTCCACTGCAGCAACTGCAGTACCTGGTGTTAAACACTCACATATTCATGCTCCTTCTCAACTGTGTGATGCTGCAGGGGTACTCTTAATGGCCTTTAATGCTGCATTTATACTGAACGTGGGCAGCAACTCTCCGCTGGAGTCCTGCTCCATATACCATCAGGAGGAGGTGGTTTCAGCATTATATTTTGCAGCCACTGTGATATAACCACAGTGGATGGAAATCTCACTATGCACACTCCCCTGTGGTCCACTTAACAGACTTTTATTTTTAATGTTATTATAGAGCCAATCGAGCAACTTCTCTTTAATAACGTTAATAAAACCAAACCATGCTTGTTTTACTTTATACAATATTTCAAAAGCTTTCTAAAAACCAACTTCTTTGACTGTGCTTTCAATTTTCTTCTTCCTATCCCCCCATCTCCCATACTGTTGACTCCCACTCTCTGTCTCGATGAAACATTTTGAGGTGTTTAACTGTGTGAAAAGCATTATTTACGTGCAAGTTGTTGTTGACTGATTTTGACGTGGAATGGAAAGTATAAGGCATATCTTTTAATTCATATTGTTCTACTACTGGGAGTGAACTTAAGTATAAGCACAGCATAACAAAGCCTGAACAAGTGACATTGCCATTTATTGCTCTCTTTTCACTAAAGATGTGAACCCCTGTTTACTGAGAGTTAACAATACGAAAGTAGCTTTAAGCATGGACGATTTATTCATTGGACTATCTCCTTGTACATCTGACCACATACATCTACAATATATAGTCTAACGTGCAGTTTCTTTTAAGAATTTCCATTGAAACGGGAGTTCTACTTCAAGTAAGATTGTGTTGGAGTTGCTTGGCGTCAACATGATGTACTTCTGGTTATTGAAGGAATCCTAATTTGCGT